AAACCTACTTTCACTTTGCATTACTAGAATAACATTTTCGAGACAGGAATGCTTTCAAGTTATGTTTCTCTATTAATATGTAAGTGTTTAGGGGTGCCCGGCTGGCTCAGTTGGTGGAGTGTGAGACTCTTGATCTTGGGGTTGTGAGTTCAAGCCCCACGTTGGGTGTAGAGATTACGTTAAAAATAAAAAAATTTAGAAAAAACCCGCAATTGTTTAAAGGACAACTGTGTCATTAAACATTGAGCACAGGGCCTGGTACACAGCGTTCAAGTGTTAGCTGTTGCTACAGTTTCTTTTAGGGATGTGGCAGGAAGCTTTTTCAATACAGTAATTCTCCGAAGGGCAAAAATAATACAATAACCTAAAAGACAGTAAAATCTATACATTGATAATTACAACATATGCTAGTAGTCATTTAGCATCCAATTCTTCTACAAAGCTATTAATATAAGAAATACCTACAGGTTAGCCATCAGGATAATGTAAATCAAAACTACAAGACGCCACTTCACATCCACTAGGATGGCTAAAACCAAAAAGACAGACAATAACAAGTGTTGACAACAATGTGGACAAACCGGAACCCTCATTTACTGCTGGTAGGAACGTAAAATGGCACGTTTGCACTGGAAAACAGTCTCACGGTTCTTTGGAAGGGCTAAATATAGTTACCACATGACCCAGCAATTCCACTGCTAGGTATATACATCCAAGAGAAATGAAAACATATGTCCACACAGAAACTTGTACACAGATGTTCACAGCAGCATTATTCCTAATAGTCAAAAAGTGAAAACAACCTAAATGTCCATGAAACAACCCAAATGTCCATCAGCTGCTAAGTGGTTAAGTAAAATGTGCGATATCCATATAGTGAATACTGTAAGACCATAGAAAGAAAGGAAGTTGTGGTACACCCTGCAGCATGGATGGACCTGGAAAATGTTATGCGACATGAAAAGAGCCAGACACAAAGGACCACATCTTGTATGATCCCATACAAGATGAAATGCCCAGAAGCAGAAAGTAAACTGGTGGTCACCTAGGGTCGGAGGGGGAATGGGGTTTCTTTTGGGGGTGATGAAAACGTTCTGGAGCTAGAGAGTGGTGATAGTTGCTCAAATGAATATACTAAAAACCACTGAATTGTACGCCTTAAACAGGCGAATGGTATGGTCTGTGAATTATATCTCAGTGAAGCTGTTAAAGAAAAAAAAATACATAGGAAGAAAAGACTATCCAAATAATAAACTTTCAGAATAACAAGCAGAACAACTTTCTCTGGAAATTTAAGTGGCAAACAGGATACAATTTCTACAGTAGGATAGCTTGGCAGGGACCATGAGTACCTGTGTGGAAGGCTGGCCCAGTGCAGGGGGGCAGAAATCAAGAGATCTCTCTAATGTCTTCTGATTCCAGCTGGTTGAGACCCAGGGAAGCTATTTAACGTCTCTGGGCTCTAGGTTCCTTTGTAACACTGACAGGAGAATGCCTATTCTAACTAGGGTCACTGGGTTGTTCCATAGCTCAAGGAAATAAGAGCGATGGCAACATTTACTAAAGCTTAAATTACTGAATTATGATCCAGGGCCTTGCTATTTATATTTTCATCCTGTTTCTTAGAAATTCTGCATATGTCCTTAGAGGCTGAAAATAGGCTAAAGTAAATAAGCATCACATCAAAAACAAGTCATCAGCAAAGAACGTGTTTAACCCTTGGAAAGCTGCAGAAATCTTAATGTATTGAGATGCCCAATGTAAAATGCCTTCATTTTAAAATTAGTTTTTAAAAAATAAATTCAGTATATATATATCCTACCATCCAAACAGAAGGGTGAACCCAAGGTGCAAACACAGACCAAATCTTAAATGGGACTAAAGAAATAATATGTGACAAATAGTAAATTTGATAAAATAAAAAATATAAAGAAAACATACCCAAATACCAAGCTTACATAAAGTTGCAACTTCTCTCATATCCCTAAATGGCTTCAGCAAATACTGGAAGAACATAGTTGCCCCAGTAACTAATTCCTGGTATGCTTCATCTTCCTCTCGATAAACATTCATTAGTGCTACCATGGTGTGGGCTTTATCGTGCCCCTGAAGAACCTAGAAGACAGAATGTAAGTAGAGCTCAAGTAAGGACAGATTTATAAGATCACACCAAACAAATAAAACTAAAGAAACTTTAATGCCCTAAACTTTAATATTTAAAATACTGATTAAATTTAAAAATGCTATTGTCCTCCAACCAAAAGGCTCAATAAAACAAGAATGGTTAAATTAGGGCGCCTGGGTGGCTCAGTCGTTAAGCGTCTGCCTTCGGCTCAGGTCATGATCCCAGGGTCCTGGGATCGAATCCCACATCGGGCTCCCTCCTCGGGGGGAAGCCTGCTTCTCCCTCCCCCCCTCCTGCTACTTGTGTTCCTGCTCTCGCTATCTCTGTCTCTGTCAAATAAATAAATAAAATCTTTAAAAAAAAAAAAAAAGAATGGTTAAATTAAATCATGGTATATCCATGGCAGAATGTTATTGCTGTAATCATTCAACGGTGTGACACCCCTAACAAACTCCTTTTATAAAGCCATTTTAATTTAAAAAGCTCATTCTAGATGCAGCTTAAGGAGATGTAATTTAAGATTTTGAAACGTGGCTGAATTCTTCTCCCGCACCCCGCCCCCCTTCCTCAAAAGAATGCACAGAAAAATCATCCAGATTAAGAAGGGCCTACAATGAGAATGCGCAAGCTAGAAGACATGTGCAGGGTGTTAGAGCACTAAATCTTGGCCACGCGTAGTAAATTGTGGATGCACACGCCGTATTTTTTCTCCCAAACCCTTCCGTGAACTTGCGTCCCCCCTCCCCTCAAATTCTCTAAGTCTATCACTCCAACCGTGAATTGTTCGGCGTCCCCCCATGACCTCTTTTAAGCTTAAAACTGCCTTCCTGCTGCTATTCCAAATCGGTAAGCAAAGCTCACTCCCGGCGGCCTTCCATCTGGCCGAGTCTGCGTCGCCTTTCCAAACCTTTCCCCTAGGGGCCCCTTCACCTTCTAAAGCAGTGGTCCCCACTGCTCCCGTCCCCGCATTCGCAGAACCGGGAAGTGTTTACATCTAGTCTGAGTTGCTTCCCACATGCGCCACAGCTGCTTCCGGTTCTGCTTCCGCTGCTCTCTGGCCGAGCCCGGCAGGACAGCCGCCTGGGCCGCCGTCTTCAGAGAAGGGGGTCGGGCAGGCTCCAGACGGAGAATGCACGCCCTCCCCTGCGTCCCCAGCTCCCGCACAGGGCACAGGCCCCTGTCCCTCCCCGTCCGCGCCCACCGACCCCTGGCCCGCCGGCAGCCCGGCGCTCGAGCCCCGCCCCCCGCCCGCCACACCGCGCCCGCAGCCCCGCGGCGGCCCGGGCCGAGCCGGGCGGGCGCGGCCGGCGCGTACCTGGCGCAGCCGCGCGCCCGCCGCCGTCCACCGCGCGCGCAGGGCCCGCTCCCGGAAGTCGCGCGGGCTCTCGCAGTCGGGCGCGCCGCCGCCGGCCGGGAAGAGCGCGTCGCGCACCGCCGCGCCGCCGCAGCCGCTCGCCGCGTCGCCCAGGTAGCGCTCCAGGCGCCCGCACAGCTCCTGCAGCGCCGCGTCCCCGAGGCCCGCGCGCGCCGGCCGCACCAGCGCCCACAGCCCGAGCCCCAGGCCCCAGGCCCCGCCGGCGCGCGCCTCCAGCTCCGGCGGCAGCGGCGGGAGGCAGCTCTCCAGCGGCGGCCAGAGCGCCGCCAGCTGCCGGTGCGCGCCGCGGAGCCCGGCGGCAGACAGCAGGCCTGCCCAGCTGGGAGCGGGCGCGGCCGGCTCGGGCTCGGGCCGGCTCCCCCCGCGCCGCCGCCGCTGCGCCGTGCGGTCGTGACAGGTCACCGCGAACTTGCCCTCCGCATCGTTCCAGGCCACGAGGAAGCGCAGCTGGTGCCGCTCGGGCTCGGCGAAGAGGTCCTCGCGGACCGGCACCCAGCCCTCCAAGCTGTCGGGCTGCTCGTCCTCCATGGCCTGCGGCTCAGCGGCCCGCGGACCTGGCTCGCGCGCTCCTGGCCTCCCCGCACGCGCAGGGGCCGGGCGCGGACCGCGACATTCTGGCTGGAAGGCGCTCGCGTCAGCGCCTGTCGGGCTCGCCCCGCCCCCGGCGCCTCTGATTGGCTGCCGGCCGTGGGCGGGTTCTCGGCAGCCAATGAGAAGGTCAGAAGTCTGTCCCCGCCCGGGCCCTGGGAAGCAGTCCTTGTCGCAGCCCTGCCCCTGAGCCGGGGAACTTCCACTCTTGCCTCACCTTTCCCACCTTTGTAGCTACTGACGTAGGAAGAGTGTTCTCGTTACATGAACGAGTTATCGTCTTATCCTCCTGCACTGAACTGCGAAACTCCTGAGAACGGGGACCGGCTGATTCGGTCCTTGCTCACTGGGGCGCCCGCGAATACCGGAGGGTTCCTGCGCCCGAGGACGGTGCAAACTTGCTGAGACCAAACGTTAAATCAAACGTAGGAGTTAATTGGCTGAGGGCCTCTAAGCGCCAGCCACTGGGTAGAAGAAGCCATGCATCTGTTGTTACCGATGCAACAAGCTTTCATGGAGTGTCTACTGTGTGCAGGTCTGGGGGCGTACACAAAAGATGTCTCCCTGTCCTCAAAGCATCCCAGGTCCCAGACCGCATGTTTACATACAGTGTGTTCCCACTCTTCTTGTTACAGCCAGGGAGACGGAGACCCCACAAAGAACCTTGTCCTAACATACACACTCGGACTAAGAAGACCACATGGCTCCCCAAGACCTGTTGAAGGAGATGGGGCAATCTAATTTGCACGTGGGGATGGGATGTGACTTGGAGGGACTAAGGCAGCCCTGGTCTGTGTCCGGGAAAGGCACCGTGCGCACCCGGAAACACAGTGCAGGCCAGCTTCCGTCCTGTGAGTGCACTGGGGGGTGGGGGTGGGGTTCCAGGGAAGGGAGGTGGGGGGAGGTGCCCCGAAAGCCCGGAGGAGGAGCCCTTCTCCGCGACTGGGCTCCTGAGGGTTAGATTCAGGAACCGGTGAAAGCTTTTGAAGGTTTGGAGCTGGGGACGCCGGAAATGAGATTTGCGGTTGCTGTCATGCCCAAAGGAAAACAACAAGAAAGCAGGGCCAGCCTGCTGCAGTGGTTAGGGCATCAGTCTCCACTGAAGATGAATTCCCAGGGTATCTAGAAACCTCTGTGGAATGTAGCTTTAAGATCTAAAGTTGCTTGTCTCAGCTCCCCCCACCCCGTCTAATGCCAGTGTGGGGCTATGGGGCCTTGGACTCAGAACTGCTGCTCTTGGCAGTCCTCTTGGAGAGGGAACCTGTCAGTTGAAGGGATTTATTTTTCCTCGAACCATTTTTAAATATGTTATCTTAGCTAATGTGATTTGCTGATAATTCGTCGAGTCTGTTTTAATATCTTTTTTGTATATTTTTTACAGCATGTCTTTTTACTGTATTTGTTTTATATTATTTTATTCTTTTTAGTAGTCTTTCTAACTTATTTGCTTTATCAAAATGACATCAGCAGGGGCGCCTGGGGGGCTCAGTTGGTGAAGGGTCTGCCTTCGGCTCAGGTCATGATCTCAAGGTCCTGGGATCCAGTCCTGCATTGGGTTCCTTGCTCAGCTGGAGCCTCTTCTCCCTCAGCCCCTCCCCTGCTTGTGCTCATGCACTCTCTCTCTCTGACAAATAAATAAATAAAATCTTTTTTTAAAAAATGACACTAGCAGGATTTCTAATTATAAAAGTAATTTCTATTTTTGTGTGAGGGAAGGATGTTTGTACATTCTTAGAAGAAAATAAGGGCAAGGACCCACCAAACCTAATAATTGTTGTTACCAGCATACATGCCTGCTTTATATTCACTTTATGGTTCTTTGGTAATATTGGCCTTTTTCTAAGCCAAATACCATATATTATTTTTCGATAAAAATATTTTTAAAAATTAATAAAGGTGCATATATAATTGTTATTAAAATAGGTACCATCAAAGATGTAAAGAAAGGGCGCCTGGGTGGCTCAGATGGTTGGGCGTCTGCCTTCGGCTCAGGTCATGATCCCAGGGTCCTGGGATCGAGTCCCACATCGGGCTCCCGGCTCAGCGGGGAGCCTGCTTCTCCCTCTGACCCTCTCCCCTCTCATGCTGTTTCTCTCTCGCTCGCTCTCTAAAAAATAAATAAAATCTTTAAAAAAAAAAAAAAGATGTAAAGAAAAAAGTAAAATAACTCAAAAGAGTTAAACCCTGCTCTCATTTTATGTGTACCATTATATACAATATCATATGTTATTATATATTTGTATTATATATTATACTATATATTATATATTTATATTATATATTATGTTATATACAGTATGTTTATATATCTATATTATGTATTTATCTTCTAATATATATATGATTATGCTGTAATGATATTTTACACTCTTTTTTTTAAGATTTTATTTATTTATTTGACAGAGAGACACATAGCGAGAGAGGGAACACAAGCCGGGGGAGTGGGAGAGGGAGAAGCAGGCTTCCCACGGAGCAGGGACCTCGATGTGGGGCTCAATCCCAGGACCCTGGGATCATGACTTGAGCCGAAGGCAGACGCTTAACGACTGAGCCACCCAGATGCCCCTTACACTCTTTTTCTACTTACAGATATATTGTTGGTCTTTTCCACATAAAAGATAGACATCTACATGATTATTGTAATATTTCCCAATATTGAGTTGACTGTATTGTGATTTAACAAATTCTATATTGATAGACATAGATTAATCTCTATTTTCTGCAAACATACATAATGCTGTGGTGAACATTCTTGTACATACCTCTTTGCATAAATTTTTTCTTACAATTTTTTTGCTTTTGATATTTTATTGTGCTTCTAATATTTTTATTTTATAGATACCTGGCAGCAATGATATTTTTCAAATGACATTTTGATTGAGATTTAAAAAGCAATAGATGTAAATTCTGAGATCAAATCACCATAAGCAAACTTTTCAATGGAACGGTCCAGAACCCAATTCATGCTCTCAGGAGGGAAACTGGTGGAGCAGTTTCTCTGGAGAACACTTGGTGGGCTACGGGGACAGTTGGAAGTCCTGTCCTCTATCCCCAAGCCCAGTGAGGGATCTTCAAAGGGACCCTTCAGAGAGCTTGCTGTATCTCCTGCAGATGGGCCAATGGTGGCCTGAGGTGAGCGGATTGGCCGCTTTGATGGCAGAGCCAGGGGAAGTGGCTGCATTGGGTCTAACTGCCTCCCAGAGTTCGCAGGGACCAAGAATGGGTCTGCCTCCTGAGCCAGCAGAATGGCAGAGTCACCAAGGAATCGTCAGATCCTGCCTAAGAGAGCCAACGGCATGGGTAGGGAGACCTCATTTGAGTGATCGTGAAGGTGGTCCACCAGGGCCTATAAGGGGAATGCGAGGGACCCCCTGGAAGAGTGGGGTTCTCAGCCTTGTTGTGGGAACTCAAGGGAAAGGTCTCCATAATGGGAAACTCCAGAGATGTACAAAAACTCCCCAGGAGAGAAGGAGGGAGATGAAGAGGGAAGGAGGGTGCACGAGAGAGAGCTCTAAGCACCTGCCAGCCCAGAGAGCCTGAAGCTAGCGCCCACTGTGGCATCACCTCCATTAGGAGCTGTCTTATCACCTTGGCACTCCTGCCCTGGCATTCCACCAGCAGCTCAAGGAGGTGTGGGGAGAAGAGACCGACCTCATTCCTCCTTTCCCAGGGCAGACTTCCAGCTAAAGAGGCCCAGGCTGGGTAGGGGAGAAGATTTTGATACTGGCTGAGCTAAGTTTGACTTTTGCGTTAATATTCTGGACGGTACCTTCAGTTACTGAATGGAGACTACGCCTTCAAATGACCCTAGGACTGAATGTCACCTAAGAGGAAGCAGAGAGTCATGGGTCTGCTGGTTTGGGTTGTTTTTTTATCCAGAGAGGGGAATGATTCCCACAGTGAGTACATGTGAAAGGAATGGTGGAAGAAAAAAAAATGAAGTTGCATTTGATTACCTTCAGAGCTGTGCTTGTTCAAAACAATTTGAGAAAAGACCATGGGCGCAGGTGGAAGCTGCCCAGCTCGGGGACTCTCAGACACCCTCCCTCCTGCATGGGCTGCATGGCCTCCAGCCCTCTGCACATAACTGGCCCTCCGAGCAGCACCGTGGAGCTACAGGCCTCAAGTCCTAGTAAATGAAGAAACTCCGGGGACAGCATGTGACCCCTCCTGGTGACACTTGAGCGGTAAGAAGTGCAAGACAGCCTAGGCAGGTCTATATTTGGGCTTTCACACATGGCAAGCCTGTTGCTATTTGCAGCGGGAGCCGGCTCATGTTACCATCACCTTCCGCGCCCCAGGGGCAGAGCCCCTGCTGTAAGGCAGGCAGGGGTAGCCTTTGGGGCTCTCACAGGTAGGTGGGAGGGAAATCCTCTGTTTCCTAGCCCTTCTCCAGAGGCCTCGGAGGTAAAAGAAGAACCTGCGGACCCTTAAATCAGCAGGCAAGTTTTTGGGTAATCCTATTCTTCTAATGCAAAGAGTATTACTAGAAACTCAGTTACTTAATGCCACAATGTTAATGCAATATTGTTCCTTTAGGGAAAGAGATATCATCTTAAATTGCAGACGTGTAAATGGCAATCAACAGTGGGGATGCTTTCTGTGCCGTCCCGTAGCGTGGACTCGCCTTGACTGAATGCGGTGTTGGTACAGAGTGCGAAAGCCTCTCGCGGATCGAAAGAGACTGGCTGGCGATTTCTTGCAATGTGCCCTTAGACTATTTTTAGTGCAGGGGCCCAATTGCTAGAACTGTTTGGAACCCTATGTAGTGTTATCCTCTGGCTGCAGTGGCGGGCTGATAAATACATTTTATTTTAATCTGCACGTGTGTCCCGACAAATCATAATTTCATGTTTTGATTGAAATATGGAAAAACAGGATTACAAGCATTTTTCACCTGTTACTCAAACCCCTCCTCCCACAGAAAGCTTTCAGTTTTGGACTTTGTAAAGGTGATTTGAGCTACTTTGCGTCACTATACAACCAACACTGTAAAGCAAGTTTCTTTAGCTGCGGCTCAGGAATTGCGAAAGGCTACACGGGTGAGCTTCTGAAATTACAGGCAAAACTATGTTTGTGCGCTTATGGGCTAGAGAATTCACAGCTTTCAGTAGATTCCCAGAGGCACTCATGCCCCATAGAAGGCTAAAAATCATTTTTGTGGGAGACTTTTCTAACTAATGCACTGGGACATACTTCCCATATAACACTTAAGCAAAAGTCTTTTTTTTTTTCTATAGCCCTATGGCCTAGAGTAGAAGTTATCTAGCTACTGTATTCTTTTTTTTTTTTTTTTTTAAGATTTTACTTATTTATTTGACAGAGAGACAGAGAGAGAAAGCACAAGTAGGCAGAGCGGCAGGCAGAGGGAGAGGGAGAAGCAGGCTCCCGACTGAGCAGGGAGCCCGACATGGGGCTCGATCCCAGGACCCTGGGATCACGACCTGAGCAGAAGGCAGCTGCTTAACCGACTGAGCCACCCAGGTGCCCCTAGCTACTGTATTCTTTATAGGCTGTGACCTACTTATTTCTCTAAGGTTCAGTTTCATCACTTATAAAATGACAGGTTACTGTTAATGTTCTTTTCTCCCCCAGTTTTGAACATGTTGGTAAGACACTGAAGGAGTCTGGGCACTGAGGAGGAAAGTGCATGGGAGCTGTGTGGGTGGGTTGCAAACCTCCCACCTCGGTGCCGAGAGCCCAGCCCAGTTTGTTTGTCTGTCCAAAGGCGAAACGCAGGCAGGGAAGAATTTGTGCTCGTTAGATTTGTTCTTAATGTTTTCCAGTCTTCTTGATTGTGTAACAGTTCAATTTGGTGTTTCCCTCTCCAGCTTGCAGTTGAAAGAATTGGCCAGCATGATTTATTGGTAATACAGCATTCTGGTTTTCTCCCTTATGGTAGCACACAGAAGTGTGTTGTTTTTAGCAGGCTGCTTCGGGGTCTGTAGGTGATACGGTTTCGTGGAAAACTGGGTCTGGATCCAACTCTTCACCTGCTGGGCTGTATGTCCAGCGTGCAGCACTGGGCTGGACACAGAGGAGCCCCAGATCGCCCCTCGTTAAGTGAAATTGGGCGTGGCAAGTCCTGTCTCCTCACAGAAACTCCGCTTTGCCATCCTAAAATCAGGAAGTTGAATGAGATGCTGTCCAAGGGCCCTTCCATCCACAGAGTTCCACACCTCTGCCTGGGCCCCTGGAAGCCCTTGCCGTGAGGACCAGCGACCTCACAGCCGATGTCCGTGCCTGGATGTGAGGCTGTTCTGCTCTGGTGCCTCCTCCCATCTTCAGTTGTTTTCAGGGGACAGAATGATCCCGCAGTGGCCGCAGGTGGCTCCACCCCATGATGGCCGCTGTGAGTCTTCACTTTCTGGCCCTGGTCCTCACCCTTCATGAGTGCCCCGGTCGGAGAGGCCAAGGTCCAGATAATGATGCTAGCAGCCACCCCCACGTTCGTGACAGCAACTGACATGGACCGAGACTGACTTTGAGCCGCGTGCTATGCTAAGCATTTTACACAACATTGTATTACTTCATCCAAAAAAATTTTACATACATTATGTTATTTCATCTAAATGCTAACTTCATGAGGCAGGAACTAGCAACAAGCCCATCTCGTGGGCTCATGAGAGTAAGGCCCAGAGAGGTGATTTTCCCAAGGCTACACCACTAAGAAGTAACCGAAACAGAATGCAAACATAGAGGGGCGCCTGGGTGGCTCAGTCGTTAAGCGTCTGCCTTCGGCTCAGGTCATGATCCCAGGGTCCTGGGATTGAGCCCCACATCAGGCTCCCTGCTCAGTGGAAAGCCTGCTTCTCCCTCTCCCACTCCCCCTGCTTGTGTTCCTTCTCGCTGTCTCTCTGTCAAATAAATAAATAAAATATTTAAAAAAAAAAAAAGAATGTAAACATAGAGCTTTCTGAATCCAGAGGGCAGTGGCCTCGGAAGGGGTGAAGGGTGGGGTGGGGGTGTTATCTGGAGATTGAACTGATAGAACTAGAATCAGCCTTAATTGGGCATCAGTCACCTGGGTGATGTCAAGGGTGAGCTCCCGGTCTCTGGTTTGGGTGCTGAAGGGAGTGGGTGCCATGCTGTTATTAATGAATGTTAAGAATGCAGTGGCCCTCTTGAGGGTGAGACTTGGCATGGGAGAGAGCACTGGGCTTGGTCAGAAAGAACAGTGGTGTCCACTGGGGCTGAGGCTGTTTGGGGAGGTGGCACTAGGGCATGAGGGGTACCCGATGCCCAGGGGAGTCAATTGAGACTTGCCAATAATGGAGCCCTCGGAATGCAGGACGTTTGGACTTATCACTTCTGCCAGAGCAGAGCAGCATGAATCTGTGCTGTACTCTGGACAGGGATGCTCACAAGGGGCTTGTGGGGCCCACGGCCAGCAGACTGTAGAAACAAGATGGTTTTAAGAAATCTCTGCCTGCAAGGTGACACTCAGGTGTGGCCCCGAGCGCTGTAGCAGTGTTAGCTTATTTAATCCTCGCAACAGATGCCCTCCCCTTACAGATGAAGACGCGGGCTCGGAGCCGCTAAGACACGTGGTCAAGGTCACATAGTGAGAACGGCATTGACCCCCGAAGCCACGCTCTTCTTTGCACCACGCTGCCTCCAGCCAAGCCGTCCCGCCTTCAAGCGCGTCCCCTGCCGGGGGCTGGGCTGCGCCTTCACTTGCTCAGTTTCTGCTTTAGCGAGGCTGCGTATCAGGCGCCCCCAGGCCTCGGTGTCCTGCCAGAGCAACAGACATTTCCCATGTTTCTGCGGCTTTTCGGGGATGTAACTGACGCCGGACACCGGGCAGGCGTAAGGTCTACCCCGTGACGACGTGATACACGGCTGCACCGTGAGATGGTGGGCACAACGGGGTTGTTCGCCGCAGGGTCCCTCACCTCACAGAATTGCCTTTTTCTGGCGTGTGGTGAGGACATTTAGGGTACAGTGCGGTCTTGTTCACCGCAGTCACCACGCTGTCAACTTACTCATCTTACAACTGGAAGTTTGTACCCTTTGCCCGGCGTCTCCCCGTGTCTGTCCCCAACTCACCGGCCCTGCAACCACCGTTCCAGCCTCTGTTTCTATGAGTTCAGCTTGTTTGGCTTCCACGTCCCCGAGTGAGATCACACAGTCTCGGTCTTTCTCTGCTGACTCATCTCGCTTAGCACAGTGCCCTCAGAGTCCACCCAGGTTGTTGGAAATGGCAGGATTTCCTTCTTATTAGGGCTGAATAATATTAATATTCCATTGTTTATCTTCTTTATCCATTCATTTGTTGATGGGCACTTCAGTCGTTTCTATGTCTTGGCTACTGTGAATAATGCTGCAATGAACATAGGAGTAGAGATCTCTCTTTGAGATCCTGATTTCATTTCCTTTGGATGTATACCCAGAAGGGGGATTGCTAGAGCATATGGTAGTTCTGTTCTCAGTTTTTTGAAGAACTTCCATACTATCTCCCATAAGATATGGCTGTACCAATCTATATTCCTACCAACAGTGAACAAGAGTTCCCTTTTCCCACATCCTTGCCAACACTTGTTATCTCTTGTCTTTCTGGGACCACCATGCTAACAGGTGCAAGGTGCTATCTCATTGTGGGTTTGGGGTTTTTTGTTGCTGTTGTTGTTTGTTTTGTTTTTACGTAGGCTCCACACCCACCGTGGAGCCCAACACAGGGCTTGAATTCATGACCCTGAGATCAAAACCTGAGCTGAGATCAAGAGTTGGTACTTAATCAGCTGAGTGACCCAGGCGTCCCCTCACTGTGGTTTTGATTTGATGATTGATGATGATGAGTGATGTTGACCATTTTTTCATATGTCTATTGGTCATCTGGATGTCTTCTTCAGAAAAATGTTTACTTAGGTCTTCTGTCCATTTTTAATCAGATTATTGGGGGGGGTTGCTATTGAGTTGTATGAGTTCCTTACATATTTTGGATATCAACTATCATGTAAATAGTTTGCAACTATTTTCTCCTATTCCATAGGTTGCCTTCTCATTTTGTTGATTGTTTCTTTTGTGGTGGAAGTTATTTTTAGTTTGATACCATCCTGCTTGTTTATTCTTGCTCTTGTTGCTCGTGCTTTTGGTGACACATCCAAAAAATTGTTTCCAAGACTGATGTTGAGGACCTTTTTCCCTTGTTTTCTTCTAGGTTTTGGTTTCACATCTTACATTTAAGCCTTTAATCTATATTTTGAGTTAATTTTGGTAAGTGGTATAAAATAGGGGTCCAATTTTATTTTTTTGCTTGTGATTATCCAGTTTTCCCAGCACTATTTACTGAAGAGACTGTCCTTTCCCACAACAGGGTAATTCTGATTAGCTACGGGGCCAGACTTGCAGGAGAGCAAAGGCAGTATTCAGAGCCCCTTAGGACAGAAGGCTCTGAATGTTTTGTTGACCAGTAAGGGATGTGGAGTCATAGGATGGATCAGGACAGGGGAGAAGGCAAAGTGGCATTTCCACAGCTGGATGGCCCCTTTGGCCTTGGGAACCATGGAAGAGAGACATGAACTAAAGTAGGAGTGATGCACGTGCTACTCAGGAGTGTCTTTGGGTCTGGCACGAGTGTGTGGTTCTTTGTCCATCTCAATGCTAGTTTTGCGGGGATGCACACCTATCATAGGGAGCTGTGTCCTACTTCACCTGAAGCTACACTTTCCCATCCCTAAAACAAGCTATGTTGGGCGGAGATGCCAGGACTGCCCCAGCCAGAGTCTAAGGTGGGCAGGGTTCTTACGAGTAACCCCAAAGAACATCCAGGCTCTGGGATCCTCATAAGTCACAGATGCTAGGGAGGCAAAGCACTGGCCC